TTTTATTTGACAGAGTTACAGAGAGAGAGGTAGAGACAGAGAGGTCGGTCTTCCATCCACTGGTTCACTCCCCAGATGGCCGAAACGGCTGGAGCGGCGCCGATCCGAAGCCAGGAGCCAGGAACTTCTTCCAGGTCTCCAACGTGGGTGCAGGGGCCCAAGGACTTGGGCCATCCTCTACTGCTATCCCAAGCCATAGCAGAGAGCTGGATTGGAAGAGGAGCAGCCGGGACTAGAACTGGCACCCATGTGGGATGCCGTTGCTTCAGGCCAGGGCTTTAACCCACTGCGCCACAGTGCCAGCCCCTCCCCCCCTTATTTTTTACTTTTTTGTGTTGTTTGTTTGTTGTTGCACTGGTTCAAGGAAAAAAGATGAGAACAAATCATCTTTGTTTCAATTGGCCTTATTAAACTGTAAGCTGAAACTGTAAGTTACTGGCTTAAAGAAAGAAAAGGACTTATATGTATGTTGGTGAACATTTTAAATGAAAATAATACTTTGTAGTTGCCAGGGTCAGTGTTTTTTAATGGCCACTGTAATTTCCAAATGGGCTGGGAGATACTTTGGAAAAGTGAATTATCCCAAAACTACAGAAACTAACATTTTCTTAAAGTGCCAGATGGTAAGTGTTTTAGACTTTTTGGGCCATGTGGTCTCTGTTGTATCTACTCAACACTTTCTCACAGCTACATAACTATTCAGTTCTGCAGTTGTAGTGTAAAAATAGATTAATGGGCAATATAGAGTAAATAAATGAATGAGCTTGGCTGTGTTCCAATAAAACTTTATTTACAAAAACAAGTGACTAGCCAACTAACACAGGTTCTATAGCATCTAATCATTATTATTTCTAACCACCTATGTATGGATGTGGTTCTCTGCCCTACACAAGCATCTTTTATTATTGTTATGAATAATTTGTAAAATCACAGATGACAGAGAACTTCACAGGTGACAGAGAACTTATTTAAAATGGCACAGTAGATGGTATAGTGCATTGTTTCCAGGTGAAGTAATATGAAAGTAAGTGAATTTTCTAGAGGGAAACTGAGTGACCACAGATGACACAAATTTGGCAAGTAGAGAACCAGGTGATGGATACTTAGGCTTCTTTAGACTGTCCTCTCTACCTCTGTGCATATTTGAAACTGTCAGTATTAGAAAGCTACTATGTAATGAAATAACGGCTAACGGCCCAGGTAAGGCCAGTTTCTCCTTTTCTTCTTACACTTTAGAGTAAGGAGAGTGATAAACAGAATCACAACCTCCATCTTAATGTTATAAATGGAGATGATCTCTGCAGTTCCACAGCCTGCCGGATGTGATGAAGGTCCAGTAGATATGTGGGAGGCCCTGGGAGCTGTCTGTGGTTGCACATCACCAGCAAAGTCAGGCGAACACCCTTCTCCACAGGAAGGGGCTGGCCTCAGATTTGCTCAAAGTGGCACTGACACTTTACCTCCCAAGTCCTCGTGGAAAAGTTAATTTGGGGTTTAACATGTCAAGCTTCAGCAAGTTTAGCTCTCATGAGCCCTACTTCTATGGGAAGAAGTTCAGCCAACCAACAGATGAAAGGAGAAGCTTCAGCTGAATAATTGGCAGTGAGTTTGAAGTCCATTGGTCCGCAGAATTAAGTCTAAATGTGGAAAGGAGGTTTCCAGAGCAGAATATGAATCTTTCAAATCTTGATAATGTAGTCATTTTGACAAGGTAGCAATGATACAACTAACAAAAGGTAGAAGGATGAGGGACAGAAGTGATGTGGAGGCATGTTTTATAACTAGCTGCCAAAAGATGTCATTTGAAATAGATCCAGTAAAAACTTAAGTGTTGGAGTGAAGTATGTATGTAGGTAGATAGTTGATACATAGAATGAGTTAAAGGTTATCCCTAAGAGAGGTAATATAATAAGCTAAACTGTATCTAGATAGGAGTAAAAAAGGAAAACTATATCAGTTCATCATTGCTCATAATAGAGAGAGGGTTTTTATATTTTCATATAAAGTACATTTTGCATAGTTATAGCTATAAAGATTTATTTACTCAACATGTTTTTTATGAGTTCTTATTTGCCAGGCACACTTAAAGTGACCAAAACAGACCAGAATTCTTGCTTTGTGTGTTGGGGAGATAAACAGTAAGCACAGTAGAGGAATAAGCACCTCCGTCTGTTGTAAGCAGTCGTTCAGTGCCCCGCGTGGCAGGGGTCAGGAGGACCACCTGGTGGAATTGCCATTTCCCATTGGGTGGGCAGAGCAGGCCTCCCCCAGAAAATGAAATTTGAGCAAGGACTGGAAGGAAGTGAGGAAACCTAGATGGTTGCCTGGAGAAACTGTATTCTTAGCAGAAAGAGTAGCCATTGCAGAGGTGCTGGAGCAGAAGTGTTCAAGAAACAGGGAAGAGACTGGAAGAGCTGAAGGATGAGGACTGAAAGGGAGGTGGGAGGAGTTGAAGTCAGGTAATAAGATTTTGTGATGGTATGAGATCTGTAGGCCACTAAAATGATTGTGACTTTTAGTCTAAGCACTGAAACAAATATGCATCGCTTCTCGGCCTTCTGGCTAAGATCAAGTGTAGTATCTGAAACAAAAACATAAACGTTTCATAATGCACACATACCTGAAACAAAGCAAGCACAAATTATTTACAAAAGAAAACAGCAATTAAAATAGAAAGCAAAACTATATAAATGTGTATGTTATATAGATGTAAATAAGTAAACTTTCTGGTTTGAAGATTCTGAGATCACAAAGAAAACTGTTCAGAGTCATTCTTAAAACAAAGATATTTAGCAAAGATGATAAAAAGACGGGCAAAGACACAGACAGCCTAGGTAAGCTAAGAAATACAGGAGTTACGACGTTGCTATTGGATGAGACTTGGTACAAAAGGCATTACATGAGGAAAAAAGACATACAAGACTCATATGAAGGAAACCTTAAAATCCTCCTCAGGGGTACAAATAGAGACTTAGATGGAGAGGCTTACAGGACTCTGGGCTAAAAGAGTCAAAACATATGGAAGTTAATTTCCTCTATGTTAACCCATGAAGTTAATAGGACCTGAGAATAAAACATCAGCCAACCTTTCGAGCCAGTGCCAGGCACTGTCCAAAGTGCTTTATACGTATCGCTTATTAGTCCTTACAAGTTTATGTGGTAGGTGTTAGTATTACTCTCTCCATCGTTCCTTTTAGAATTCAAGGCAAAAAGAAGCTAATGAACTTGACCAAGGTTGCAGGTAGAGTAAGTTACTGAACCACGATCTAAACTCAGGATGCTTTCAGATTTTGTGCTTTAACCACTACACTGTACTTTTTTTTTTTTTAAATAAATAAATAGGACTGTGTGTATGTGTGTGTGTGTGTGTGTGTGTGTAACGAGATAACTGACTCTGATATGGAAAAACAAGGAGGAATACCCAAAAGAATTCTTAAGGAAGAGTAGTAAGGGAAAACTAACTTTATCATATGTTAAAATATAAAACTAGAATGTTAAAACAATGTGGTTACCAGTACATGAACAGACATATGATTAGACAAAACAGGTTCAGAAATATTCTAACTCATACAGATATTTGGAAAATTATGAAGATATCATTTCAAATAATAGGAATTAGTCTCTCTACAGGATAGCTCTGTTGTCATTAAAAGGAAATGAGTTGGATTTATGCATCTTAATTTGACTAAAATTAATACCTAATGTATCAAAGATTTAAACCTGAAAAACTAAACTGTGAACCAAGTTTCCAGTAATTGTAAATTATTTATTTACATTTGTAAATAAGTGCCAGTCTCACATTTCTGTGTGTGTGTCATATGCCATAGTCATGTTGAGGTGTGCATTGTTGGAGTCCTAACTTCACTTTTCATTGGGGTGGTGGAGAGAATGCTTCAGACTGAGGCTAACACGTGGAGTTTCAGTCAGTTAGTGCCTTCCCTTCTTTGATCTTTTAAGGATCTGGGAAAGTAAAAAGGTCTAAGGGAATAAATTCAGCATTTGGCAAGTCAGAAGTGTCTTCAATATCCTTTATGAAACTTGGTTTAATTATGACAGCCTGAATTCCAGCCCCACAGGTCCGGTGGCATTACTCTTGGAGGAAATAGTAAGCATGGGTGGGTGCATGGTTTCCTTCTAACATTCTGCAGAAGGTAGTGATCAAAGGACTCAAGGAATAAGGTTGTCCGAGTTTTAAAAAAGGGGAGTGAACAGACCAGATGCCTATTTAAGTAAAAACACAATTATGATAGTGAATAATAACTATCTCATGCCTGGTCAAAGACAGGAAGGAAATGGAGATCTGAAAGTCATCAGGAGAAAGGAGCAAGAAAATTTTAGTGTAGACTTGATAGCACTTAAAACCAGTATTCTATTTTTAAAAAATAAGTTAAAAATGTTTATGTGGCATAATCCTAATTTGTTTACCATAGCATTTGACTCATGTGCATGTTTGTGAATGTGTTTGCATACAATGCTGAAAACACAAGGCTGTCGCTGTGGTACAGTGGGTTAACGCCCTGGCCTGAAGCACCGGCATCCCATATGGGCGCCACTTTGAGTCTCAGCTGCTCCACTTCCCATCCAGCTCTCTGCTGTGGCCTGAGAAAGCAGTGGAAGATGGCCCAAGTGCTTGGGCCACTGTACCTGTGTGGGAGACCTGGAAGAAGCTCCTGGCTGCTGGCTTCTAATCAGCTCAGCTCTGGCCATTGCAGCCATTTGGGGGTATAAACCAGCTACCTCTCTGTAACTCTGCCTTTCAAATAAATAAAATAAATCTTTAAAAAAAAAAAAAAAGGAAAGAAAATACACCAAAAGTTCACTACTATTAGCTCAGAATGATGGGAATTTGAGGGGCTTTTATTTTCTTTTATCTGTGTTTTTAAACTTCTACAAAGAATATATATGACTTAAGTGATCAGAGAGCTGTGTTTATTTTGCACACATGCACACCCCACATTTCCTGTTCTGTTCTGACAGGGGATGTTTTTCATATTTCCTAGGTGCACCAGAGGCTGTCTTCCTGGCAGAATTTGGGAGCCATGTATTGCAGTACTGTTGTGCCCTCTGATGGTGAGTTTTGGCAGATATGCTTTTTAGTTTTTTTAAGCCCATTTTTTAAGCCCGATATGAAAATGTATAAACCATACTCATTCACTTAAGGTAGTGGGCATGGGGGTCAGAGAGAACTTGGGAGGACTGAGAAGAGAAACAAAATTTGGGTGAGGAGCTAGAATTTAAAGAAACCAAGAGGAGAAACTAACAGACCCAGCACATAGGGCATAGAATACGCATCTGTTTTCGAACTGGGGATGTAGTTACTGTGATGCCCGCAGAAGCACTGCCTTTGGTATTTTGCTAACCATGGAGTCTTCACATTGTAGATACTGATCGAATGCTCCAGCCCCTTCACGACATCAAGCAGTTCAAAGTCTGAGAGGCCCTGCTCTTGCTTGTCTTTTTCTGCCCTTGGGCTCAGAGCAATAGTATGGTGTGAGAATGAGCAGAAGAAGCATGGAAGCCACCTGCAGTCCTTTGTAAATGCCCACAGTACTACAGACAAGTAGCAGAATCTAAGTGCTGGCTGTCTTTGCAGCAGTGGAGGGAGATGTGTTTCTAACTCTTGGCATTCTTCCTACCCAGTACTGTGCATTTATAGTGTATGTTGCTTAGCCCCAGGGTGCACTGTTAAATGTTTCCTCTGTGTAACATTTCATTTGATAGAGCTCTAAACATTAATTCATAGGCACAACAGGCTTTGAAAACATCCTTCAAATTTGCAAGGACACCTGAAACTGAACAAGTCCAACAGATGACTCAGGAAGGCCCTAGAATCCCCCGTGTGTAGTCACTATTGATATTTGTGGTGCTATCAGATCCCCTCCCCAAAGCTGCTTAGGTATCTGGATTTATTGGCACAGTATACTTGCATTTGCTAAATCCTCTAAAGCCACCCGTGGTTACTCATTTGTATTATGGAAAGGGTGAAGGGGAATCAAAATAAGAAAGAAGTAGCTGACTTTTCCTATCAGTTAAGGACATAGAAAGCTGATGAAGTCATGGCAATTTATATGCACCCCACTTTGTTGCAGCCAGAGGGTACTTGCTGTGTTGCCCCACTCAGGAGTCATTAAGTAGCCAGATTCCAGTCCTTCCTGCCCATGCTACCTGCTCCCCTCCCTCTGTAACCCCTCCGAAGTAGTACCTGGAACCTCCCTTCCCCCTGACATTGCTTTAGTGCTTTAAACAGCCAAACGGGGCCTGTCCACATCTCCGCCGGCCCCACTCCCAGGTCTCATTGCCTTCCTCTACTACCAGTGCAGGGTAACACCATGAGTTTCAATAAGGAGAAAATTTCTCTCAGTGTGAAAAATAATTGTTGTGGCACCAGCACTGTGGCCTAGCAGATTAAGCCACTGTCTGCAGCACCTGCATTCCATATGGGTGCTGGTTCAAGTCCTGGCTATTCCACTTCCGATCCAGCTCCCTGCTAATGTGCCTGGGAAAGCAGCAGAGGATGGCCCAACTGCTTAGGCCCCTGCACTCACGTGAGAGACCCTGAAGAGGCTCCTGGCTTTGACCTTGCCTAGCCCTAGCCATTATGGCCATTTGGGGAGTGAACCAATGGATGGAAGATCTCTCTGTCTCATCCTCTCTCTCTCTCTCTCTCTCTCTCTCTCTCTGTAATTCTTTAAAATAAATAAATAAATCTTTAAAAAGATCATTGTTCATGGTGCTGAATCCTTTCAACTGTTGTTGAACTAACAATATTTCACTCAAGCATTTCTAACTTTTAAAATATTATCTGAAAATTACATGTATATTCCGTATTAGTATATGTGTGTGTGTATATATATATGGTAAATTATATATATCTAATATCAACCAAGTCACATTGTAACAGGAAACTCAAATACCAATGTTTGTTAGGATGTTTAATGACAGTTAATTTGAACTAGTCAATACGTGTTGGGATTTATTTTAATTTGCCATTTAATGCTGTTACTATTATACTATATACCAACCCACATGAATGTATTTTTATTTTATTTTAAAGATTTACATGTTTATTTGAAAGGCAGAATTACAGAGAGAGAGAGAGATTTTCCATCCACTGGTTCATTCCCCAAGTGGCCACAATGGTCAGGGCTGTGCCAGGCTGAAGCCAGGACCTTCTTTCCAGGATCCCACATGGATGTACAGGGACCCAAGCACTTGGATTATCCTCTGCTGCTTTTCTAGGCATATCAACAGGGAGCTGGATTGGAAGCAGAGCAACCGAGACTCAAACCAACACCCATATGGGATGCCAGTGTCGCAGGTAGCAACTTTATCTGCCACAACACTGGCCCCAAGAAAATATTTTTTTAATATTTATTTATTTAAAAGGTAGAATGATAGAGCAAGAGAGAAAGATCTTCTATCCACTGATACATCCCCCAGATACCTGCAACAGACAGTACGGGGCCAGGCCAAAGCCAGGAACCAGGAACTTCATCTAGGTCTCCATCTGGGGGGCAGGGCCCAAGTACCTGCTGTCTTCCCAGGCTCGTTAGCGGGAAAGTGGATCAGAAGCAGAGACAGTCCTCAATCTCACACGGTCAGATATGGGAGCAGACATCCCAAACAGGGGCATAACCCACTGACCCCAATGCCTGTGCCCACAAGGAAGTATTTAAGTCATTTAACAGTGATTACTCAGTTGTACTGAGGTATCTGGCTGAATGTTACTCCAGCACATGAATGCTAGGAGGTTGCCCTGTGTTGCTTGAGGGGTTGAAGGTAATATTTTTATAAAAACTAAAAAGATGCCATCCTTTAAAAAACTGAGTGGCTCCCAAAATTCCTAGCAATCCTGTTTTGGCCATCTGAAGAAAACCATCTTGGGGCTGGTGTTGGCGTACAGTGGGTAAAGCCACTGCCTGTGATGCTGGCATTCCATATGGATGCCAGTTGAGTCATGGCTGCTCCATTTCTGATCCGGTTGCCTGCTAATGCACCTGGGAAAGCACCAGAGGATGGCCCAAGTGCTTAGGCCCCTGCATTCACATAGGAGACCCAGAAGAAGCTCCTGGCTCCCGACTTCAGCCTGGTCCAGCCCTAGCCATTGTGGCCATCTGAGGAGTAAACCAATAGACAGAAGGTCTCTCTTTCCTGTCTCTTCCTCTCTCTCTGTAACTCTGACTTTCAAATAAATGAATAAATGAAAAAGAAAATCAAGTTGTGTTAACAGAAGCACAAAACTATTTGATTTAAAGCAGCTCAATATCCTTACTTATCCTTACTTAGTACCAATTTATAGATATTTCTTGCTTTGTACTTTTAAATTAATTTTACCTTAGGCCAGTATAGTGTGTGAGAAACTTGCTTAATACACAGCTAGAGTTTAGTCACCAATGACAGACATTTTTCCTATCATTATCTGCTTCGTGTTGTGACTGCTGGGTCAAATTGAGTATCAAATTAGGGCTTGGCTCTCATTTTTTAAAAAAGTACAGAGTCGGCCAGCGCTGTGGCTCACTGGGCTAATCCTCCGCCTTGCGGCGCCGGCACACCGGGTTCTAGTCTCGGTCAGGGCGCCGGATTCTGTCCCGGTTGCCCCTCTTCCAGGCCAGCTCTCTGCTGTGGCCAGGGAGTGCAGTGGAGGATGGCCCAAGTACTTGGGCCCTGCACCCCATGGGAGACCAGGATAAGTACCTGGCTCCTGCCATCAGATCGGCGCGGTGCGCCGGCCGCAGCGCGCCGGCTGCAGTGGCCATTGGAGGGTGAACCAACGGCAAAGGAAGACCTTTCTCTCTGTCTCTCTCTCTCTCACTATCCACTCTGTCAAAAAAAAAAAAAAAAAAAAAAAAAATACAGAGTCCCAAATACCACATTGTATGCCTAGTGTGTATACATATATATATATGTGTGTGTATATACATATATATTACTTCTCAGTAGTTTCTTGTTAATTATGTTGTTTGACATATCTTCTATTTATAAATATATTGGCTGAGATAAAATATACAGATTACCTTAAATGCTTAATCTCCCTATGAAAACAGTGTAACAAATCGTGACTTTTTCTTGTGTCATAAATACTTTTGAGGATCCAGTGAAACTCTGGACTCTGACTCTAAAAATATTTATGCATACTCATAGGAAACTTTACATACAATTTTCACAGTGCATAGAGATACAGGCTTCCTCAAACCAACCCATGAAATCCATAGTCTCGTGGACCCCAACTTGATAACTGTTTTGGACCCGTTGAGCACAGGTGCTCGTGCCCACGCCCACAACCCTGCTTGATTCCATGTGAGGCATTATATGTAGAGCTGCAGAGCACAAATATCTGAATCCAGCAGACCAGTTCTGCACACCCCAGGTTACTACTCAGCCACTGTATAACCCTGGACAAGAAATTACCTTTTTTTTTTTTTTTTTTTTATTTTTATTTTTTGACAGGCAGAGTGGACAGTGAGAGAGAGAGACAGAGAGAAAGGTCTTCCTTTGCCGTTGGTTCACCCTCCAATGGCCGCCGCGGCCGGCGCGCTGCGGCCGGCGCACCGCGCTGATCCGATGGCAGGAGCCAGGAGTCAGGTGCTTTTCCTGGTCTCCCATGGGGTGCAGGGCCCAAGCACCTGGGCCATCCTCCACTGCACTCCCTGGCCACAGCAGAGGGCTGGCCTGGAAGAGGGGCAACCGGGACAGAATCCGGCGCCCCGACTGGGACTAGAACCCGGTGTGCCGGCGCCGCTAGGCGGAGGATTAGCCTAGTGAGCCGCGGCGCCGGCAAGAAATTACCTTTTCATAACCTCTTTCTGTATCACAAAGACTCAGGAGCAAATGTTAATGGCAGCATTATTTTTAATAGCTCACTCAAAATAGACATCAATCTAGGTGCCACTGCTTTGGTTTTTGACTTCTCCAGGCAGAGATCTTACATTTTCTCCAAGGACATCTTACTCTGTGGATTTGACAGGTGCTAGGCTGGAGACAAGTGCCAAGGAGGAAAACAAAGCTAGGGGAGGCGTTCAGCAGGGGCTGCTCCCTGTCGGCTTCCCAAAGCTGGCTTGAGGCAAGAGTCA